CTTCCCACAGCAATGCTTATTTTTATGGCTTCTTCAAGAACAAGCGGATAGTTTTGTTTGACACTCTACTAGAAGAGTATTCTGTACTAAACAAAGACATCCAGGAGGAGTCTGGCATGGAACCCCGCAATGATGGAGAAGGGGACAGTGAAGAAATAAAAGCTAAAGTTAAAGTGAGTTCTTCTCTTCCTAAGAGACCCTGGCTTAGTTTTTATGAACAGTTCCTGTGACAACTCAAAATAACATTAATTTCTATGTAGTGAGTGTTGAATTCAAGGAGACTATCAAATAAAAATACAGTGGCCCCTTTATAACTGGTATTTGGGAGAGATTATCACTATCGTTACATGCTAACTACCTTGCAGGCTTTCACAGAATGTACACAAGTATAAGGTAGGAAAATTCTTATGATTATAAGCTGTCTTTAAAACAGGGACTTTATATATAATTCCTGACATGTTTATGATTGAAGAATTCCCACAGGCAAGATAAAAAGGCGATAAACATCTCATTTTTAGCTTCATTGAGATATAGTAACTATAGGCTTTGGCAGTGGAGAGACTTGAATTTGAATCCTGGTTCTGTCATTTAGTAGCTGTGCATTCTTGGGTATACTATGTAACTTGGTCAGTTTTCTTTTGTTTGTTTAACAAATATTTATGAAATGTAAACTCTGTGCTGAGATACTTTCCTTGGCACTAGGAATACAAAGATAAAGAGGCAAACCTTGCTCTTAAGGAGTTTATAGTCTAAAGGGGAGAAAGTCATACAAGCACAGTACAATATGGTAATTGCTGCATTGAAGCTGTAAATACTGGATGCAGTGAGAACACAAGAGAAGACGTTTGTTAAATCTGACCTTTTAGTCTGAGAAAGCTTTTTCTGAATCTTCTCCTGGATGAGGTCAGCTAATGCTGATTAGCAAGATCTAAAGTATACCAAGACTAAATGGGGAGGGGAAACACTGATAAGAAAACAGTACATATTTCATCAGAAACAGTCTCCAGTAGTTGTGTGTGTGATGGAATGTGCCATTGGCTTTGGTGTCATTCAGAGATGATACGGGATCTGTGTGACTCTGGGCAACTAACTTAAGCTCTCTAAATCTTTGATTTCTTAACTGAAAGACAATGCCACCAGGGTTTCTCATCTTGGCACTACTGACATCTTGGACTGGACAATTTTTCATCATGGGAGGCTATCTTGTGCATCATAAGATGTTGAGCAGCATCTCTGGCCTCTCCCTTTAGATGCCAGTATCAATCCCTCCTTTCCCAGCAACTGTGACAATGAAAAATGTCACTAGACATTGCCAGATGTCCGTGGGGTTGGGGGGTACTGGAAGGAGGGGGCAAGATCACTCCTAGTTGAAAAACACTGGGATAAAGATGCCTACCTCTTAGGGTTGTTAAGATTAAATGAAATAATATATGTGAATAACCTTGTACTCTATGTACTTTAAGTACCAGAAAATAACTTTTATCACTGAGTATCTGTTTTGACTCTAAAGAGATGGTCTAATAGAGTGCCTAGCCTGTTATAAATATGTAGATGGAACAAAATTCTGTGAAGGGGTTAAACAGTATTGGGTGAAGGTTAACTCCTTTGATTATATTTATTTTTAAGTGGGTTTATCAGATTTCCCCGGAGGTCCAGTGGTTAAGGCTCCGCGCTCCAAATGCAGGGGGCACGGGTTCGATCCCTGGTTGGGGAGCTAAGACCCCACATGCCGCGTGGTGGGGCCAAAAAAAAAAAAAAAAAATCATAGATATATGTATATGTTAATAAAAACAGCTCAACACTATCTTTTTTAATGACTACATATCACATTTATGGATAAAACACATTTAATGAACTAATAAGCTTACCGGGGGCAAAAAAAAAAAAAAAAAAAGGGAAACAAGTGGGTTTATCCTGTCTGGATATTGTAATAAAAGTCATTTTGGTCTGACCAAGAGTCATAGGATTTTAAGCTAGGAAGAGCTCTTAAGGTCATCCTATAGACAGGAAAACTGAAATCCAAAAAGAGTAACCAGGTGACAACAGTGGGGAATCATGCAAGTTCAGCAAGTCAACCTGCTGAAGAGGTATCCACATACAGGGTGGATTACTTTATAGCCAAACCTGGGTGTTAGATAGTGGTCTGCTGATTTCAGTAATGAAATAACTGACCTTTAGTATCTGTGAGAACAGTATTCTTTGGCTTAAATCTTAGAAAAGAAGTCTTCTGAACCATGTCGAATCGAGTTTGAGTTATTTTGTTGGCTTCTTGAAGAGTAGCTGCAAATATTTTAGCATCTATGTATAAGTTACATAGTCCTACCCTAGAAGACCTGTAGTAGAGGAGAGGAGATATGTATACAAATAGCTCATAGTTTAAGGCAGAGGGTGGTAAGTGAGTGGCTGAAATAGTGTGGCTTTTAGAAATTAAGAAATTAATGCAGATGCTAATGGCCAGACAGGTTTCTTAAAAGAGAGGATGTTTGAACTAGGCAAAATTTTGACCTGGGGATGGAGCTTTTCAGGTTGAAGATATGGAATGAATGAAGCTATAAAGACAACTACACAATGGCTATTCTGAGACTAATGAATGAACGGATTCTTGTAGAAGGGGATAGAAAGGTAGGCCAGGACCAGTTTGTAAAGTACTTCTTCCTGAAGACATTGAGTGGTTATTTTCAGTGGCCTGGAAAGTTTAAATTGATTTGGGTAGAGGCCAAAGCTTGTTTTAGGAAGTTTAAAATTTGGTGGCAACATATATGATAGAGCAAAGATTAGAGGCAAGGGGGACTCCTAGGGGCCTATTGCATCAAGATAACCAAGATAAGCATGAAATAAGGGCCTACACTTAGAGTGAGAGGTGAGAGTAAGTGTGGAGTCATAATAAAAGATGGATTTCAAGTACTTGGGTGATTGCTATTATGGGGAGTAAAGGAGGAAGTCAAAGAAGGACGCAGAACGCCAGTGCATGTACCACAGGTGAGGTGATTTTAGGTAGTATAGTATATCAGTATTTGAAATTTGAATGGCCATATGTGTATTAATGTATATTAGGAAAAAGATAAAACTAGCTTATCATGATTTCATGAAAATTGTCATTTAGGATAAGGTTAAGTTTTAAAAAGTGAATTGATTTTTTAAAAGATATTAAATAATCACACAGAGAATACACAGGTGTGGCAGAAGTTTAGGAAACAGTGGTTTATTCAGCACCTGCTAGTGAACACCTACTATGTACAACACAGTGGGGGATGCAAAAATGGTTTTAAGTCTGGATCACATAGAAAGGATGAAGTGTTTCATTTTGAACAGAAGAAAACTAAAGTTATCTGAAATCCCTCCTCTTAGAGATAACTACTATTAACATTTTGATGAATATCTCCATACTGACTATTCACATTTTATAAGATGACTAGGAAACTTACTCTCTGCAGTTTTATCCTTCAGAAGACAAATTCGATCACTGGAACAACCTGTCTCAAAAGCAGTTTAAGTAAAAGGAAAAATTTTAATATATAAAAGCTGTACTTTTGTAGAAGAAAACAAGTGTTTCCCCAGCAAGTGCTAGGGTCATGTGAAAGTATTCCCAGTTGATAAGTATAGTAGAGGACAAGATCCAGAGATGTGGGTTGGCTTTTACCCACTACTTATTAGCAAGATGATCTTAAGACATTTTAACTTCTCGGTGTCCTTTACCTCTAAAATGAAGATATTACTTCCCATCTTGTGCAGCTTGGTGTTGTGAGGATCAAATGAATCAGCATATGAATTTTATGAAAAGTGCTATAGAAAAGTGAAAGATATGTGGTACTTATTTTTGTTATTGTATGTGAAATTTGCATGGGAAGAAAAGAAAATCCAGTTTTGTCTAAGAATCTATCACCAATAAACAAGTCTCCTTTCTGCAGAAAATGACCCTTATTTAAGCTCTTTTCATTCCATATCTTTGAATGTGACTCCATGCAGTTCTGAATAGCTTCCTAAACCCAGACATCAAACCAAGAGACAACAGCCTATGTTATCTAATAGAGACCTGCTTGTTTTATAAAAGAATTAATTCATAGTTCACACTGGGAAGCAGGTAACTAGTGAAACTAGAAGCCTAAAGACTGTGTACTTTATATAAAATGATGATAATGATAGCTGCCTTGTAGTAGTGGAGATTAACAAACTGTATGTAAAATATCTAATAATACAGTGTCTAGTACATAGACCATTTAATGAGTGGGAACTGTTATCATTATTATTAAACAAAGCAGCCTATTTTGCTTATTATTAAACTAATAGACAAATTAGAAAACATGAATAATCCAACTAACCGTAAACATCTTACTATATATATTTCTAGTCTTTTTAAATCATCATTTTTTAAAATCATTCTCCTCGGGACTTCCCTGATGGTACAGTGGTTAGAATCTGCCTACCAATACAGGGGACACAGGTTTGAGCCCTGGTCTGGGAAGGTCCCACGGGAAGGTCCCACATGCTGTGGAGCAACTAAGCCCATGCACCACAACTACCGAGCCTGTGCTCTAGAGCCCACGTACCACAACTGCTGAAGCCTGCTCACCTAGAGCCTGTGCTCCGCAAAAAGAGAAACCACTGCAATGAGAAGCCCGCATGCTGCAACGAAGAGTAGCCCCCGCTCGCCGCAACTAGAGAAAGCCCGCACGCAGCAACGAAGACCCAAAGCAGCCAAAAATAAATAAATAAGTTAATTAATAAAATAAAATCATTCTCCTCTTATTGGGTGTATGGGTTGTTTCCAGTTTTTTGCTGTTAAAAATATTCTTGCAATGAATATTTTTGTATATAAATCTTCAGTTGCACCTCTTTATTTCCCCCTTAGAATACATGTCTATTAATTGGTGCTTTGTTTGTTATTCCCTCTTGATGGCCATTCCCTGAAGGTACAGGTACACGTGTCTCTTAGCCATTTAAGAAACTAGGCGAGTTATCTCATTCTTTACTTTCTCTACCAAACGTATTCTGACGTAAATACTGATGTTTAAAAGGAAAAGAGATAATAAATGTAAATGCTATCTTGCCAGTCATTTTAATCTATCCCTCTACCCAGCCTCATTTTTAAGTGGTCATTTTCCTTAAAAATGAGGAATTGGTGAAGGAGTGGAAAAGTGGTAGAATATCTAGATTCCAGTATCTTGCTGCCTGT